TAGATTTCCAGCATGTTTTCACAGATTCAACATCATTCCACTGAATATTACAGATTTGGGGGTCTATTTGGCAAGTTATCTCTCTCTCTCTCTCTCTCTTTTTTCTTTTTTTTAGACAAAGTCTCACTCTGTTGCCCTGGTTAGAGTACCACAGCAACTTCAAACTCTTGGGCTCAATCAATCCTCCTGCCTTAGCCTCCCGAGCTGGGACTACAGACAACCGCTTTAGTGTCTAGTTTTAGTAGTGTCTAGTTTAGTAGCGTCTCACTTTTGCACAGGCTGGTTTTGAACTCCTGAGCTCGGGCCATCCACCCACCTTGACCTCCCAGAGTTCTAGGATTACAGGTGTGAGGCACCTCACCCACCAGGAAACTGTCATTTGAATTCATCTAATTTCATCTCATGTGAAGCATCTCATTTCTGTAATTCATTGAATGGGTGGCTGTTTCTTTCATCTAAATTTTAATTTCACCCTTTGTACACATAATACAATTTCTCAATGAGCCAATCTGAGCTTTCTCTGTGCTTTCAAAGACTGATATGTACCTATAAGATCAAGAGCCAAAGAAATGATCACAAATGCAGGCATTGGGGTACAAAAGATGTTCATCACAGCAATTTTTATAGTAAGAAAAACACTAAAAACATCTAAATTTCTAGTGATCACAGTAGTTTTCCTGTAGATAAATAATAATCTACTTAATCAATGGGAAATAACACAGACTTAAAATATCCGTAAAGAATGTTAACTGCCATATAACATTTAGGGAGAGTAAAAAAGTTTAGAATCTCATTTTCGTGAAGAAAAATACATATACGCAGAAAGAGAACTAGAAGGACATATTTCCTGTGTTGGTGGCAGTTACCATTGTGTGATACCTCTTCTTGTCTATGCTTTTCTTCATTTTTCTCACTTTTCCAGAATGAACATGTACTAATTACACATTTAGAAATAAAATGTTTTTCAAAGATCAAAAAGGCAAGTTGCTACATTGGAATCCAGTAAGCCTTTCCCCTCTCCTGCTTCCCCCTTTCCCTCTCTCTTCTTACAGAGGGAAGGTATTGCCACATTATTAAGCAATCAGCCAGTAGGGTTCATCCAACAGCAATAAACTGACCTCTCGGGAGAAAATTAGTGAAGCTCAGGAAATTAGAGCTAGAAACTCCTGCTGAGTGGTCTAATGCATCCCTCAAGAATCAGTGCCATATACATTACACTTTCTGGTGTGGGCACTTTCTTTTCAATTTAATTTTAAATGTTTCGAGTGATTGCAATTTCACTGCTACATTTCAGATCAGTCAACAAGCTATTAATCCATCTTCCCTGAGCAGAACATAATAACTCCCACAAACTTCAGAGCTGTCCTAACTTTCTTGCATGAACCTGCTAGCTGAACAAATATCTTAGACCTAGTTCAAATTCTGGCGCCTCCGATTAGCTATAAGACTTTACATACATCCCTCTACCTATCTGACCCTAGGTTTCCTCATTTGTAAAAGAAAACCTCACTACCTACCTCTCAAATGTTACTGTAGAAATTAAATGAGATGATACATGGAGAGCAGTGATTTTCAGCCAGTGTGCCATGGCACAGTGGTGTACCAGGAGAGGATTTTAGGAGTGCTGCGAAAATTTTTAAAGATTATAAATTAAATTATTTTCAAAAGAAGTTCAAAGCACAGTAAGTATTTTTTTACTCTTTTTATCAACATAATTTAAGTGTGCTGCAGACGTTTAGCTGTAGAGTTCAAGTTTGCCATGAGATAGAAAAAGGTTGAAAAACACTAATGTAGAGGATGCTTTGAGTGCAGTAATAGTATTTAGTAAATGCTTGGTGATTTAGGAGTGTTGGATTAGTGTAGAACGGTAGTTTTCCTGGAAAATCGTCTCTACTGAGACAACAAACCCTTCTTTGTGATTTCCTGGATGACATAAGTGGGTTAGAGTAGACAGTATAGGTTGTGACCTTGAAAAACAAAATTTCATTTGGTGTCCAAACCTTGGGCTAAGGCACACTAACTAAATTAACTAGCTCCAGATCACAAATATGGCTCAGAGAGCACCCACTGAACATTTTCACTGCTGATAAAAGCCAGAATTAGAACACCAGCCATGGGGATGGGAAAAAGAAGATGGCACAAAGAGCCAACTTGAGAGGGAATCAATAGGGTTTAATGAAGAGTTCACATAGAGGCCAAAGGAAAGAGGAGACTAATGCCCCCAAGAGCCTAACTTGGGTGACTAAATGTGCAATGTATTCATTCCAGTGAATTTTCTACTGAGCACCTACTAAGGGCCAGACACTGTTCTGGGTGCAGAGAATACTGGAGTGAACCACACAGGAAAAAAAAAAAATCTCTGCCTTTGTGGACCTTCTTTTCTAGTGGGAACTATAGGACATAAATAAGCAAACAAAAAAATAAATAAGACAATTGCTGACTGTGATAACTGAGATGCAGAAAATAAACAGGGTAATGGACAAAGAATAATAGGATGGAGTGACTTTAGATATGATGGCTATGGAAGTCCTTTCACAGGAGGCCATGTGAGACGGATAGGTCCTGAAAGAAGAAAAGGATCCAACATATAGAAAAGAGGGGAAGCTGTCCAGGTACAGAGAGACCTTGGGATGGGGGAAGGTTAGGTGTTTGGAGAAAGTGGTGGTGGGGAGCCTACGTAACTGAAATACAATAGGAAAGGGGGGTATTGGCAGAAGAGGAGATTGTAAAAGTGAGCCAGGCTCACTGGCCAAGGACCATGCTTTGAGAAGCAGGTTCTTGGGAAAGACAATGAGTTCCTCTGTCACATGTTGAGTTTGAGATGTCTGGGGGCATCTCCAAACAAAAGATCCAGGACTCCATCCTAAGAACTACAGACAATGTTGGGATTTGAGAAGCCATCCAATTGCAGTGGCATCACCAAGCAGTGTTCTAAAAATCCAAATTACTCAGGCATTAAAAATTTCTGGGGTGCCGTCTTGGGAAATTATAATTCAAGTAGGTCTAGGTCAAGACCTAGAAATCAGTTTTTTGATACTCCAAGATAATTCTGGTTCATTTGATTACGATACGTTTCTTGCACTCCTATTATTTGCCTGGACAATTCTAAGTCCTGGAAATAAAGTTCTTTAACAAGTTAGACAGCTTACAGTCTAGAGAAAAAAAAAACAGTCAATGAACTAAAAAAAAATACAATTGTGACACATACCACACAGACACACACCTAAGCTGGTATATGTAAATACAGAATAATTATGGGGACTTATCCTAGATAAATCCAAAGAAAAGACTTCTTTTTGAGGAAGTTTCTTGAGCTGACAACTGAGGAGTAAGAAGGAAGAGCCAACATTCTTGGAGAACAGCATTCGAGGCAGAGGGAACAATCAAAGCAAAGACATGGCTGAGAATTCAGTTGATGAATCTAATCTTTTGGTTATTCCCACTTGATTAATCAACCACAATGGCAGAGCTTTAGCAGCAAGCTATACTAGGTACACACCTTGTACCAGTTGCTGTGCCAGGTACTGACACAAAGATGAACAAGACAGACATATCTCTTTCTCTATCTATCATCTACCTACCTACCTATCTCTGTCTCTCTCTATGTCTCTCTGGCCTTGCAGTCCAATAAGAGAGGCAGATTACCCAATAAGTATGGTCCCATGAGATAAATGAGAGCATCCCAATCTCTTCATGTTCTGAGCAATCCAAGCAGATGATGAATACTTTCAAGTATGATGATGGATGGGAGCAATTGTTTTTGAGACTCCCCACATGATAAAACTATTTTCATATCTTTGTGGTCCCGGACAGCTCAGAATATCTGGATTTGGGGTGGAATATTTGAAATAGTGGGTATCAGGTTTAAGATAATTGACTATTGTTCAGAATATAGGGGGAAATCACATCCTACTAATAACTAACATTTACGGGACACACAAATCCACCTGGCGTACTGTGCAATCTCATAGAGTCCTCACGACGCATTTATGAGACAGGGTCTATGATCAGTCCCCTTTTTCAGATGATGAAATTGACACTCAGCCACGTGACGGGACTTTCGGGAAGTCGCTCGAGTCAGAGGTGATGATCTCCCAGCTCTGACTGGCTTTAGCGCCTCAGTTCTGGTCCATACCGCCTCTCGTTAATGGCTCAGACGCTGATGCCATTGCTGCCGTCCGCCCAGCTCCCAAAGTGGATTCCTCTCTGTTCTCCCTCTCGGGTCTGGGTTGTCTACATCTGCCAGTCTACCTGCATTTCTCTCCAGGGATCCTGGAGGTGGAAAAATGGAGAGGAGCAGAATTCCTCGTTTCCATGCTGGGGGGGAGGGGGAGGGGCGTTTGGACACGGCGGTGGCCGCTGACTGGCTATAAGCAGACTGCAGTCTCCTGAGCTCCCTGCCGAGCTCGTGGAGAGCAGTTGAGACGCGCTGAAGACAAAGCTGAGCGCCTGGTACCCAACCCACCTGTGGGCAGGAGTGATTACAGGGCTTCACGTTCTGAGTCTGTGTAAGAAGGAAGTGAGGCAGGGAAAGCAAATGAAATGCCTCGGGAGCCAAATAATTAAGGTAAAAATGTTTAAGTCAAGAGAAATAGTAAGTCTATTGCCAACTGGATCAGGTGGGTCCTGTCCCATCTAAATGTACTGAGATTGAGTGGCTCCTCGGGGAGCCTGCTCTTCCAAACTTGTCAGTGTGAATAGGTGCCTGGGCCTGACGGTCTCTGGGTGGGTCCGTCAGGGAGTGGGGTGTCTTCGTCTGCCTTCCCGTTTCTCAAGCTGACTGGCTCCCTCTGTCCTCCCCGCCTCCCCTCCCTCCCTCCCTCCCTCCTAGTGGGGAGGCTCTTGGCCCGGGTCCCTAAAGACGCAGCAGGGGTGAGGTCACGTCTCCCTTGAGCCCCGCGCCTCGGGCTTTTCAGAGCCTTGCCGCGAGCCGGGGGCCAGAGCCCGAGACCGCGCGGACCGTGCGCTCCTCCGCCCTCCCTGCGCCGCGCGTCTCGCCCATGTCTCAGTACGCCCCCAGCCCCGACTTCAAGAGGGCTTTGGACAGCAGTCCCGAGGCCAACACTGAAGATGACAAGACCGAGGAGGATGTGCCGGTGGCCAAGAACTACCTGTGGCTCGCCATCGTCTCGTGTTTTTGCCCTGCGTACCCCGTCAACATCGTGGCTTTGGTCTTTTCCATCATGGTAAGTGGAGTAAGGCTAGAGGCAGCGCGGGAGGAGAGAACCGGGTGGCTTTGCGTTCCTCCCAGGGACCCTCTGCGTCTCAGCGGTTCCTCTCCTTGCTGCCCTGCGCGCTAGGAGCTCTCTGCCTCCGCCTAACTTTTCTCAGGCTTTGGAGGTCTCCCCACAACTATCAGCACCTCCCCGGAGTTCCTTGCGATGTTCAAAGCCCTGACCAAACCTTCCCAGCGCTAGCTTTCTTCTCCGTTTTAGCGTCCATGATACGCCATCTCGCCAGACCAGGGAAGTTCTTCCATTGACTTCGTTGCTTCCTTCTTCCCTCCTCCGACGTTCCTAAGCACTAGCCGGGTCTCTGCGTTTTTCTAGACCCCCAATGCGCGCGACCCTAGCGGGCAACAGTATGCCCATTCTCTGAGCGCACAGGCTCTACATTTGCCAAAACTGCTACCACGGTGCTCCAGTCTCCGGCGCCCCGGGGCTGTGGCTTAGCATATGCTCCTCTCTCTCTTTGCTGCGCCGGAGGCACCGCCTCTGCCACCCTCGGAGGGTCCCCAGGTGAGCCCCCAACCCTCCCTCCCTGCCCTCCAGTTCCCTTGCTTTGGCACAGTACGCTCTTTTCCGGACAACTGTTCCTTCTCGTTTCTTCCTACACCCAACTCCCTTCCTTTGCTTCTCTTCCGCACCCTCTTTCCAGCGCGCCCGAGGCTGACTCACACTCGCTACCTCTCCAAGCAATTTTTCTTGGGTGCCGCTGCACTCTTCTCACCAGCAAGGCACTTGTCCCTTACCTTCGTAGTTCCTCCCCCATTTGCTGGGCATTGGCCCTATCTCCGCCTTTTTTGGCGTCCCCGAGGGCTCCCAGGCGCCCCTCCACCACTCGGTCCTGCGCCCGGGTGCTCAGAAGACTCCAAGCGCAGTGCCACCCCGCGCACCCTCTACGCATCGGCCTCCTGAGCTGAGCGCCCCTAGAGAGGGCGCTGGGACCGCTAGTCCGCCCTTCCAGAGCTCAAACCCGCTTCCCTCTTCAAGCCTGGTTGGAGCTCCCCGGAGAACCCCACCAGCAGGGCTACAAGGGCCGGCTAGGTCCGCGCCTTATTGACTGAAGCAGCTGGCCCAGGGGTGGTGGCGGGGTGCGCTTCGGACAGGCACTGTCCTGGGACAACCCTTTCAGTTACACTCCCTCCCCCACCGGCCCGCCACGCTTGCGGCTGGGCGACAGAACTCCTGGGCCCCAGGCGGAGAGTCCTAATTCAGTGCGCTAAAGATGCAAAGCCCACCCCCTCCGCCCCCACCCTATTCATTTCACCCACACCATATTCGTTTGGTTGTTGAACTCCCAATTTGCCTTTTCCCAGACCCGGTTTGTAGACTGTGTCTGCACCAACTTTCCAGCGCGCTGTTTAGACTGCCTGGGTTCAAATCCCACTTCCACCACTTTCTTGCTGTATGATTGATCTCAGAAGTCACTGCATCACTGAACCTTGGTCTCTTTGTAAAACGAGAATAGCCACAGCCGTATTTCTCCATGTTGGTGTGAGCATTAGTGACATAATAATTGTAAAGCGCTTATAACAGTGCCCAGCATGAGGTAAGCTCTTTACTCAAATGTCATTTCAGTGAGGCCTTTTTTTAAATCATGGTTTAAAATCAAAACCTCCTCCACGCACACACATACTCACGGTCTAGTCCCCCTTCTTTGCTGCCTTTCCCCAAAGAACTTCTCTCCATCTGATATTTGATTTTGTTTATTCATGTGTTTACTGTCTGTGCCCTCTCATTAGAGCAGAAGCTCTGTGAAGACAAGGACATTTGTAGGTTTGGTTTGGTACTATATCTTCCACACCAAGAAGAAAATCTGGCGTGTGACAGAGGCTTAAACGTTATGAAGGGAATGCACGCATAAATGAACGGTGTTAATGAATCCCTGTCTGCTGTACTCCTGCTGGTTTTTCTCATACCAAAGCCCTGGAGGCTGGTCATATCCGGTTCCTTAGGACCAACTAGCCAATTTCCTCCCTGCCTTCCTCTCCACAGATATCCGGTCTTGGGTTATTTTGCAGAGAGGCTGGAAATAGGGCTGCCGCCAAATTCTCCAGGCAGAGCAGACTGTCTGGCTGGCACTAATGTCCACATTCTATCCTGCTTTATTAATGAAGGAGCCATGGGTAGGATGGGATTCCTACTCATCCCCAGTGATCTCTGTTTATTCACAGTGCCACTTAGCAAACTGCCTGCAAAGGCTTTTTCCCTTCACTGGTCTGAGATGAGCTAACACTCCAGCTGGTCGTGTGATAGGTTGGATACTAATGATGCCACTTGGTGTACCCTGGGGGCCGAGGTTTGCACAGGCTGTGGATAGAAACCTTCTTTTTTTTCTAATCCCTTTATCCGCATTCCTTCCCCCCAAGATTTTTTCAATACCCTCATAGCAAAAGATCATTCTATTGCGAGACCTGGCATTGGAGAAAGAAAGTTGATGATGGGCAAATTTCATACCTTTTTTCAGCCTTAGTGGATCTTTTATTCCATCTATAAAATGGTAATGTTAAAGCTGTTTTAAGTTGAGCAAAAATGTTATAAGGATGAAACAAAACAAAGCATATCGAGCTTCTAGCACTATGCTAGGCATGTGCAGTAATTGTCAGACAGATGTATAGATTTGGAACCTGGAGACCTCATGTTTGTTTTGTTTTGTTTTTCATTTTAATGGCAATGTTTTAATTTTTTAAGTTACAGTTGACTCTCAAACAACATAGATTTGAGCTGTACAGGTCTGCTTATGTATGGATTTTCTTCCACCTCTGACCCCTTGAAAACAGCAAGCCCAGACCCTCTGCTTCCTCCTCCTCAGCTTACTCAACATGAAGACGAAAACCTCTATGATTATCCACTTCCACTGAACAAACACGAACTTTTTTCTTTTTCTTTTTCTTTTTTTTTGAGAAAGAGTCTCATTATGTCACCCTGGGTAGAGTGCCATGGTGTCATAGCTCCCAATAACCTCAAACTCTTGGGCTTAAGCAATTCTCTTGCCTCAGCTTCCCGAGTAGTTGGGACTACAGGTGCCCAGCTATGTTTTGGTTATAGTTGTCATTGTTGTGAGACCTCATGTTTTATATATGAAAACAGCCTCCCTATTGCACTCTCTCTAAGTGTTTGATACTACACAGCTCTGGGCTCAATAAGTTTTATCACAAAGACTCCAAAGGATGAGGAGGAAAAGGAAG